CAAATTCGCCCTTTTAGAGGTCAAACCCCACCTTTTAAAAAAGAAATTTCCTTATTTTCGTGTCAAACCCCCCTTTTTGAGATAAAACCCCCGACTTTTAAGGCCCAAATTCCCATTTTTGGGGCCAAATTCCCTTTTTTTCAGGCCAAACTCCCCGTTTTTGGGGCCCAAACTCCTCTTTTTGGGTACAAATTTCCCCTTTTTGGGACCAAAATCTCCCTTTGGTCACAACCCTTCCACTTTCCGTGGCCAACACCCCAATTTTTAAGGCCAAATTTCCCCCTTTTTTTAGCCAAATCCTCCCTTTTTGTGGCAAATCTCCACTTTTTAGGGCCAAATTCTCCCTCTTTTGGGCCAAATCTCCCGTTTTTATGAGAAACCCTCACTTTTTAAGGCAAATTTCCCCCTTTTTGGGTCAAATCTCTCCTTTTTTAGGACCAACCCCTCACTTTTTGGATCGACCCCACCCCTTTTAGGGCCCCAAATTCACTTTTCCAGGTGCCAACCCCACCCGTTTTTTGAGGACCAAACTCCGCCTTTTTGGGTTCAAATCCCCGCCCTTTCCTGCCTCCATCCCGCCCCATTTTGGGTTAAAATTCCCCAATTTTGGGGTTTTTCCCCCTCCCCCCCCTCCCTTCCCCGATCCCGCCGGTACCTGAGGGGGGGCGTGGGGGAGGGGCCGGAGCGCTGCGCTGGCCACGCCCCCTCAGCGCGCGCTGCCGCAGGGGGCGGGGCGGCGCAGGGGGCGGGGCTAACCCAGGGGCGTGACCAATCAGGGGCATTGATAGGCTGAGGGGGCGTGGCCCTAAGGGTGCGTGACCAATCAGGGGGCGTGACCAATCAGGGGCGTGGAGTGTTTGGAGGGGGCGTGGCCTTGAGGGACGCGTGACCAATCAGAGGCATGGATTGAGTGAGGGGCGTGGCCTCTGTGGTATGTGGGTGTGGTCCAGCTTTGGGGGCGTGGTTTGGGGAGGGGGCGTGGCTTTGTCCCCCAAACCCGAGGGTGCGACCACCCAGATTTCCCCCCCCCCACCGGATTTAAAAGAAAAATCAAAATATTAGAGGGGAAAATCCATACTTTCCGTGGGAAATTGATATTTTTGCGAGGGAAACGGGAATTTTGGGGCTCAGAACCTTCAGATTTAGAGGAAAAAACAAAAAAATTTGGCGTGAAATTCCATATTTTTAGTGGGCAATTGATATTTTTACAGGCAAAATGGGAGTTTTGGGGCTAAATAAAGGCTTTTGCCTAAGATGAAAAGTGTTTGGGGGAGAAAGAGTTATTTCAGGGAGAACATGATAAATTTAGGGGATATAGACAATTTTGGCAGGGAAAAGGGACATTTCAGGGGAGAAATTACAGAAAAAAACCCCAATTTTTTCCTTAGTTTCTCATTATTTTTATGGGGATTTTTAAAATTCCTTTTCTGTGCTCCTTTTTAATTTAATGAACAGACATTATCAAATCCACAGACTGTTTTTTGTTTTTTTTTTCTTCTGTTCTCGGATTTATGGAGCTCTTAATATTTTTTTCTTGTTCTCGTTATACTTTTATTTAATAAATATAATTGGATGGGGTTTGCAAAGAGTTTAAGGGAGACCTGGGAAGGTGAGGGAGAGAAATGGAGCCTGAGGGGTTTGGGGGCAGCTTGGAGAAATGGTGTCCGTGAGGGGAAAATGAGGGGAAAATGAGGGAAAAATGAGGGGAAAATGAGGGGAAAATGGAAACTTGAGGGTGATAAGGGTGGGAATGGAGCCTTTTGAGGGTGATGGGGGATAAATACAGAATTAACGGGGTTGGAAATGAGCTTTGAGCTCATGGAGTCCTACCTGTGGTGGCAGCTGAGGGGGAAATGGCGCCTGAGGGGTTTGG